AGATATATTTACAATAAATGATAATACCATTATTATAATAATACTGTTGTAGTATTTAACTTCAGGTCTCCTTCCCACAAGGTGGTATTTCTTTATCTACCTGAGAAGAATAAACAACGACGACAGACTCGTCGAAGGCTCGAATCCACAACGTAAATATTATCTACGCATGTTTCGATTCTCGTACTCCTGTACCGAAATTAAATTCGACGGAATAAGTACTTTTATTCAGGAAAATGAGCGCATAAATCTGTCGTGGTCGAGGGTTCAAGGGCATATGAATCTTTCTGTTCTTACATCATCTACTGATAAAACTAGCGGCTTTCATTGCTAGGAATCCTTTTCAGCGATTAGAAATCAGTGCCCTTGAAAGTCATATATTCGTCTATACCTTCGGATCAGGCCCAAACAGTCGTTCAAGATCTCGCTTTATCCAGTACGGTTCATTTTTCGGCTTTGCATACATCCAAGCAACCCACAATTTAGGAGCTTGTTCGAGATGCTCTTCGAACTGCTCGGGACCACTCTGCATAGCTGCATAATCGAACTCTTGAACGGTTGGAGCGGGTCGCGGCAGATATCGATACTTGTGCAACGGTTTATACACGAAACAACCTAAAATAAAGTAAATTTATTGTTAAGTCGCATCGATGCAACGAGAGACATTACTTCTTGGAACACGGGCCATGCGAAACTAAAAGCTGAAAATTACCACGAAGTCGACTAACGAGCAAATTGTATATATACCAAACAGTAGTAAAACCATCAGAAAGCAAAAGAGGCGAAGGGAAAGTTTACTTCAGAACAGTATCGTGAGGATACAGTATGAAAGAAAACAGCAGTTATATGGAATCTCTGTCTTCAGGTTTGTGATAATTCATTTTAAGGTTTTCGAAAATGTCCGCTTCGGTTAAGGTGGTTACGAAGAAACCTTGGTTCAGAATCTTCTGGCCCTGTAATCAAAACAAAAATCATATCACGCATCGACTATACAAGTAAAAAATACAATACATAATGAATATCTGCTGTACGGAAACGAAAATTCGATTTAACGGCGAGTAGACGCTGTACAACCACCAGACAAGTACGCAATTGCATTTCAGAGAAGGAAAAGTGCATTCGACTCAGCAAATACTGTCGCCATGAAAATCTGTATATGTTGGTGGCCATCGTCATCTGAGGTCAACAATGCAGTAACTGCAGAGTTGTTCAGAACTACAAACAACAGGGAAACCTTCTGTAGCATTATCACAGAAAAAACCCGTCCACCTAAAATTCGAGTGAATTCCTTGTTAACCAGCGTGAAGTACGATCCATGTTAACTCACTGGATCAGTGAGAATAAAGTGGAATGCCTGTCGTCTGATCTCTCTTGCAGCCATTCAAAAATAAGTAACCCTACCGGGAACACATTCCAATGGCGTTAAATTTAACGATGCTACAGTAACAAACCCTCTGTAGGCATCCGACAGAAAGGCAAATTTACATGTTCAATAAGCTACTATTAAGGTAAAATAAAACTACTGACGAACGAAATTTAAGCAGGGCATTTTAATCAGCAGATAATATATGTACAGGGTTTTCACAAGAAAAAAAATATTGAAAAATAAAGGGTAATATATGGTCAATAATAACCTCACGTAATACTCCCTTGCGCAAACCATGCTGATTCAGGACCATGCCCATGCTCTTGGCTCTACCGTTAACGAAACGAACAAATTCCGCACTTCCGGTGAAGTAGAGCAACGACGTGGCGAATTCGTCATGTGGTACTGCGATGATATCGATTCGGCGGTGCTGAAACGTCAAAACTGAACAATTAAGCGAAGACGCTATAACCATTCATGTAACTGAAAACTTATTACA